TCATTACCATTTTTAATATAGACCACCAAAATCCCTTTGTCAGCCAGCTATAATTTTTCAAAAGCCCTTTAAGTATACAATCTGGGTCATGTGTAGCCTGCTTCCCTTAAGGAGAAGAATGCGTTGTACCATTTTCAATACCCAAGATTCATTGTAATTTGACTTTGGCTTGCCAGATAACCTCATTCGGGTTTGGTTTCCCTGGTGTGTGCTCAGCTCTCTGCTTCCCGGCAGGGATGCCTCTGGTTCCCTGGGGAGTTGAACTGGGCAGACTCTGGGCCTCCCTCTGATGCCCCTGGGAGGGCCCTGAGCCCAACCGGAGCCCACTGATGGAGGCAGGGCTCTCTGGAAGGCTGACGACTGAGTAGGACCGGTCTAAGAATTCATTGTCTGCGATCTTCTGTTGATGCTTACGAGCTGCTTTATTCCTGGAAAGCTGTGGTCCTCCCACACTAAAGGATGGGGTGCTTCAGGATCTCCAAGCAGCTACAGGGAGTTTGGAATTCACGATGCAGCTCACTGTGAAGACCCAAAGATAGCTTAGTCAAGTCCTGAGGGGCAAGCTGGGTTCAGGTCCCAGCGGTGTTCTCTTCTCAGAAAAGCCAGGCGCAGGTGGGGAACCAGGCATTGTCTCTTCCCCAAGAGATGTCTTCAACCTGGAGTTGATCAGAAGTCTCACTGGCTGGTTACGTAGCATTGAAAAAAGAACTCTTACTTTCGGTGGCATGGTGGCATGACTGGAAATATCTTTACAACCCTTTTCTCATTCTGGTGTATTTCTTAGGTGCCTGTGGTTTTACGGCCAGACAAGGGAGCAGTCTTTTGAGGGGGATTCTTGAGCTAGGACAGAACGCCTGCCGTGCCCCACACATGGGATGCCAGAATTGTCAGTTTGTCCAAAGAAGGAGGATTTGAAATTTCCAGAGGATGAGGGGAAACAAAATGTGCTTTGTTAAAGCGTTTGGCCATGTCGGGACTCTTATCCTAGCAGAGATATTTTGGTCTTTTCAAGTAAAACAAACCCAACAAGCAAGCGGGGAGGAGGCAGCTGGCTTACGGCTGCTGGTTTGTGAGGGGCTGTCTAGGGCTCAGAATGAGAAAAGTAGACATCAATGGGGTCTCTCCGAAGGAGGAGGGAGAGTTAGCCAGCTCCTCTTCGTAGGGTGATGACGGTTTAGACCCTTATGTATTGTGTGGCCCAGGTTAGAATACAGAATCCCCGCCTTGTCATCAACAAACCACCGAGGATGAAATTCTATTCCTGTGCAAATAAGACATGGGAATTTTGGAAATTCGTGGAGAGCATGAACTCGAAAGTCTGAGAGATCATTTTCAAGTTGCAGAGTCAATCAAACTGCTACTTAGATGTCATTTCTGGTTTTGAGCGTGTCTATTTGTTTCGATATTTTGAATTTTAAGTTTGGGAAGAGTAAGTGTAGGAGAGGGGATGAGAGCAGAGAAAATTCCAAGACAGGCAAGATCGGACAGAGAGGGCTGGCAGTGGGTCCTGAATGCTGAAATCGTGGGTGAGAGATGATTTTTCTTGGATCTGCACACGATGGGGCAAATTCTTAACCCCATCTGGCCCACCGCCTTGGGGCTTTTGTTCTTCTCTGAAAAGGTAAAAAAGAAAGAAGAACAAAAGAAGGGGGGAGGTATCTTGCTCAATTCAAGTTGCAATCTAATCTCCGACTTTGTTTAAATTAAACTTTTTTTATTTTGAGATGGTTGTGTATTAGCATGTGGTTTTAAGAAGCTATACAGAGAGATCTCTGTATCCTCTACTCAGTTTCCCCCTCAGTGGCAAAATCTTGCAAATCTTCATACAAGGTCACAGCCAGGTTATTGACCTTGATACATGTTCAAGATACACAACACTTGGGTCACTACAAGGGTATCTCATGTTGCCTTTTTGCACATCATACCTTCTTTCCTCCAGCCCTCACGCCCTCCTTAACCCCTAGCAACCATGAGTCCGTGCTTCCTTCCTGTGGTTTTCTAAGTTCAAGAATGTTAGATAAATGGACTCATATAGCACATAACCTACAGCCTGGCTTTTTTCACTCAGTGTAATTCTCTGAAGGTATCAGTTTGTTCATCTTGGGGGGACGAGTCGCATTCCCTGCGATGGATGCTTGTTTGGTTAGCCTTTAACCTGTCGAAGGACATCTGGGCTGTCTCCAGTTTGGGGCTACTGTGAATAATTCTGCTATAAACATAAGTTTCAAGTTTCCTGGAAAAATGTGAAGAGGACAGTTGGCAGGTTGTATGGTACTTGCATGTTTCATGTTTGGTTTGGTTTGGTTTGGTTTTCAACAGTCAAGTATTTTCTAGAGTGGCTGAACCATTTTGCATTCTCTTAAGTGATATGTGAATGATCTAGTTTCTTCCCATCCTCATCAGAATTTCAGGTCATCACTACTTTTTAGTTTGGCCATTCTGGTGTCTAGTGATATACCTCGTGATGGTTTTATTTTTCTCTTACCTACTGGCGACTGATGTTGCATAACATTTCATGTGCTCATTCACTGTCCGTCTGTCCTCCTCGGTTAAATAAATGTCTGTCAGTGTCTTTTGCCCATTTTCCAATTGTTTTTTTTTTTAGCTTGAGTTTTGAGAGTTCTTAATATATTTAAATACCAGTCCTTTGTCAGATACGTGGTTTGCAAGTGTTTTTCCTAGTATATACCTTATATTTACATCTGCTTCACAAGGATGACAGGTCTTAATTTTGATGAAGTCTGGTTTATCAGTTTTCCCTTGTATGGATTGCGTTTTTGATGTCAAGGCTAAAAGTTCTTTGGCAGACCATTGACCCCAAAGATTTTCTCCTATGTTTTAATTTTTTCTGAAAGATGCATAGTTCTACATTACACATTTACATAGTGATCCCTTTTGAGTTAATTTTTATCATAAAACATGAAACTCATAGACAATAACTGCTCTACCCACAACAAACACCACAAGGAAAGAAAACACGTTTGCCTCACCTGGGGGGACCCCAGACCTCCACCCTCACAAGACGGTGCCTTACTGAGCATCTACTAAACCCCGAGAGTGGACCCAGAGCTCCCCGAGTGCTTCAAATCGATGGCAAAGACCTGGCTTCTAAGGTGCTGTCTTAGATAAAACAGCAGCAGATCCTGGAGCCCATCCGTCTCAATTACAACTTGTCACTCTAGCTGCCAGATGTCGGGCAAACCACTCCACTGCTCTGAGCCTCAGTCTTTTCATTTGTAATAAGATGGTTTTGAGGATTATATTAGATAAAATATGTGAAACGACTTGTGCAGGGGTAGCCAATAAATGTCTCATTCTTCTCCAAACTGATCCATCGCAGCTGTTAAATATTAACCACGGGCTGTTGTCAGAACAGAGAAAGGCCAATTGTATCCAACTGATCCTGAATTTTCTAAGGGCTAATTAGCTCATTTATAGATAAACTAGGAACCTTCTGCTCTTGATTCCTAGCTTGGTAGCCAATACTTTGCCTAGTTACATAGCTACTGGTACTAGTTAAATAGAGCAAATGAAATTTTCATTCTGATTCAGTTAAAATTCCTAGAAGATTGGAGGACGCAGGAAAAGAAACCTACATGGATGGGAACAGATTTTTTTTAAACCTGATTTTTTTAGTTTTATCAACTATCTTTAAATTATGGGAAAATGTGAAATACTCATTAAAATTAAATTCTGTAAAATAGGTGAAGAAATCCTACCTGGTCTATCGGAAAGAAAAAAAAATTGTCAGCTTACCTGAGTTCAGTTCTTAAACTCAGTCTGCCACTCACATTGAATTCCCTGATTTTTATACAAGCCAAATTTTATGAATTACTTTTGAACTCCCTTATTGATTGATTGTGGAAAATTCAGCTACTGCCTTTCTGTTTGTTCTCTGAGCACCTGCTGTTTTATTCGCATTTTTCCCCATCCTTTCACTATCTCCTCTTTCCCTTATTAAAAACAAACGAACAGTGTAAAATGCCTCCCCTTCCCTTTCTTAAAATCCTTCTCCCAGTAACATCTCCAGAACGGTCTGGGATGAATCACACTGCATTGGATCTGCCACAAATATTTTCTTCTTATACAGTTGATTTTAAATTAAGCAGGCCCCAAAGGAAGTTCTGAACTGGTCACTGCCAGCAAACACTGAAGAGCAGCATGCGGGGCGAGGGCAGATAGAAGGTGGAGGGGGTCCCTTCTGATCTGCTGCTTGGGGTGGTGGGAAGACCACTAAGGCTCACGCACATCTGCGTCTCGGGTCCTTTTGAGCTGCGTCTGCTGGAGCCACAAGCAGCCTCTCCAGTTACCATCTACCCGCCCCCAGTCCGGGACCCCCAGAACTCAGAGCTCATGTGCACTTCTCAGCCCCTGGAACTGGATCTGTCCTTATTGTTTTGTCAGCATGTTTTGAAGATCAGTAGCTCATTCGTAGAAAGTGAATAATTACTAGATGGTGTGTGTATTTCGAAGTTTGATCCTGGCGTTGTTTATAACACTTATCCTGTTTGAATGAAACACGTCTTTCGCTACAAGAAAAAGCCTGTGATGGTACTAGATGTAAAATCTGCGAATTAACCCAAGTTTGGGGAAGTGGATACTTTAATTGATGTTGGCCTTTGATGCCCCACCCCGGAGGCACTGCCTCCTTGGGTAATTGCGTAACTCAGGACTCTCGTCATGGCGGGGTCGGGGGGAAAGGTAAAAAAAATTATCTTCATAGGACTGCCATTATATAAACACTCACAAACTATAATTAACCCAAGAACTGATCTAACAATACAGACTGAGAACCCCATCGTTTGGCTGACTTAATCTCTCTCAAATGGTAAAATGGACTGAATTTGGATATTTTGTGTACGTGTTTTAATTTTCTCTACCACTGCCAGCCACACCCAATGAGCTGAATGATAACTCTTTGAGCCTATGTTTTCATCACATTAAATAATGTCTCTTTCTCTCTCTCTTTTTTTTTTTTTGTTTCATGTTTACTCTCCCAGTATCCCATTTCTCAGAGGAACATTTCATCCCGACAGCCAGGGAGAGAGCCTGGATGCTCAAGGTAAGATTTCAGCATAAATGATGTTTGCAGAGTAAACTGGAGCACACAGTACAAATGCCTCTGTAACAGATTTATTTTCAGAGTTCCATTATACAGTTAAAGCAAATATTCGAGTAAACATGCTTCATTAAGACGTTATTTTTCAGACTATAATCCATCTCCCATGTGTACTAAGGCCTAATTAACGACATCGGCAATTCCTCTAAAGCTGTTCAAGCCAGTTAAAGTTTAATTTTTGGAGATCTTTTTAGTGATAAAGTGGAGTGAGGAAATAAATGCCAAGATATAGTCAAAAAACCTCATGACGTTCCTAATTGTGAATCAGTGATGATTTGATCTTGTTAAAAATCAAGGCAACTGCTCTGTTGACTTTACAAGAGAGAGAGGGTGGGTATCTTGAAAAGGTGATAAACGCCCAGAAAGGTTTTTTGTTTTTTGTTTTTTTTCAGTTTGGGGTTTGTGTTTGAGACGCAATCATTTGGCCTGTTATTGCCCACTGGCGCTCTGAGACCCCCTACTCCAGGAGCTCCCTGGAACAAAGGGACAATTAACTGAAATTCCACCAGATGGCAATATTCGGAAAGCCATCCAGAGAGGTTTCAAAGCTGTGAGCTATTATTGTTCAGAGATTAGTCTCACAGAGTATAGCGTCCTAGATTTCATGAAAGGTGCTCTAAACATCTTTTGTTTTACTTTTTGCCCACAGCGTCAGAATTTTTACTAGGGGAAAATAGGTGTATGGGGTGGTATGTGTTGTTTTCTTTTGTTTTTCATTCTGGAAGGGTAGAATCAGAAACTTCATTCTTCAGTAATTCTTCCAAGCAGTATTGTTGAGTATTAAAAGCTCAGATCAATGGATAATGTACCATATTTGTCTTAGGGTCTCTTTGTGATAAATGTTACGGTTGAGGGTCACTTTTAAATAAATTGTTTGGGAAGACAAACCTAAAATTCTTCTCTTACAGAGGAGGAGAATTTTGAGGAGTTGCTTAGATATTGAACCAAGTGAAACTTACAGGTACAAAAATTATTTGTGATGATCGCAAATAATTAAGTTTATTTAAATAGGGTGGGTGAACTTTGCCCATTTTGCTCCAATGATAGTAGAGATGCTCTATGTACCTCAAGTGGTGTCCAAACAGCTGGGCTACCCTAGGGCAGAGGTAAGATGGATGGACAGACAGACGAAGTAGAGAGGCATCTGAAGGCAATTGAAATGGGAAGAACCAGTAAGAGGAGCCACGTGAGCTTTCTGTGTGCACCTAACCGCAGTCCCTGAACAGGCACCGAATGACCTTTGAAACCTGCTCTTATGCTAGTAGCCCCTTCCAGTAGAGGGCCCAGAGGTCCGGTGTCCAGGACAGTCCTCGTTTACTTCTGTTGTCCCAGAGTGTCATCTAGCTAACACCCCCGGCCCCCTTGAAATTCTCAGCTTAAAGTAAATGATCGCCTTGTTATCTGTCTTCTAGGCTATCATGTCCGAGGAAAAAGGAATAGAAAAAGGCCCAGTACCTAAATACCTAAATTGAGTATCTGTTTGTAAGCCTCCGTATATATTTGGGGCTAAGGGACAAATTCTTTTTTGGTAAAAAGCCACATAGTAAACATGTTTTTGCTTTGTGGGCTGTTCAGTGTCTGCCATAACTATTCAACTCATTGCAGGGTGAAAGCACGATGGGCATAAATGAACAGGTTTGGCTGTGTTGCAATAAAACTTTATTTACAAAAACAGGCAGCCATGGCGGGGCTGGGTGTAACTTGGTGGTAGAGCACATGCTTAGCATACGTGAGGTCCTGAGTTCAACCCCCAGTACCTCCATTAAAAGGAGAACAGGCAGCCAGTGGCATTTGGCTGGCAGGCCATAGTGTGCAGACTTGTGTGAGGGAATAGATGGTAAGGAGGGGACAGGAGACGGTGGAGAACCAAGAAGATGGTCCTCCATTATTCCTCCCCCTCCTCTTCACATCCTTCCTGGGTTGCAGCCTCCTCATTTAACCTTCTCAGAGATTAGCATCAATAGCTTCCTTGGTGAGTCATCTCATCAGTTGTGTGGTTCCTGAGATGCCTTTGCTGGGTCTAACTGCTTGTTTCTCATCCAAATCTGTTTCTGCCCCTGCACATGCGTGTGCTTTGTACCTCGCAACACAGAATAGCACCCCTATTCGGGTACCACCTGAATCCTAGAGTTAAATACTGGAGCAATGGTATCAGCAGACACCTAAATTTATGCTTTGGTCCTCACTAGATAACTGTCTATAGGAAATAGAGCCACATTAAGGAAAGGTTAAAGCTGACGATAGCAAATTTTTTATTATGAAAACAATAAACTTACAGGAAAATTTGCTGGGGGGATCACCCATAGCAACACTATCCCAAAATAACTTTTTCTCTTTTGTTGCTTCTTTGCTTTTCCCATAAGTATTCATATTTTTCCCTAGTGGAAAATAGGGCGCATGTGAACTTGGTGTTTTGTTTAGTGTTAGTCACAAGCATCTTTCATGAGTCACCAGAGCTACCATTAGAATAGTATCATGTTATGTCAGTGTGCCATAATATCTTCTAATTTTCACTAAAAAAGTGCTGTACTAAATTTTTTTGTAGACTTTATTATTATTTTGGTTGGTTTGGCTGAGTTCAGTTTGTTCCGGGGGTTTTGTTTATTTCCTTAGAACAAAATCCCAGAAGTGGGATTATTACCCAAGGATATGACCATTTTTATGACTCTTAATCTAGTTTATCGTGTCTTCTCTTAAGAGATTTGGAGTCTTTACAAGCGTTTGTAGTCGGAGGATACTAGCCTCACCATGACTTAGGAGAAACAGCATTTAATTTATTCCATAGTATTGAGTGAATGTCTTCTGTGTATAAAAAGCTGTACCAATTACTTTGGCATGTGTATACGTAAATATATAAATGAGCGATGTGCTTCCTCCACAAACATCTGAGTGCCTGCTATGAACGATGTGTTGCAGGGTTTGAGTGGTGAGCAGAAAATGGCTTCTGTCTGAGTTTGACCTTACTGGAGAGCTAAAATACATACATAAATAACCGTAATAAAATATACAAAATGAGACACAACGTAGGAGAAATACAGTCAAAATAGGATGGGAGTTTGGGAGGGGTCGGGAGAGAGAGATGGCATCTGAGCCGATCTCTGAATGTAAGTCTGATTGGGATGCTCCGAGGTGGTGAATTTGCGCTTCATTCTGTAAACATGTCTAGATTGCCGACTGTGTGCCAAGTCCTCGGCTAAAAGCTAGGGATCTAAAGGTGACAGACAGAGCTCTTAAAGCTTACTCTCTAGTAGAGAGGACAGCCTTTAAAAAAAAAAAGTGTAAGCATGAGAAGTGGGATGGCTCTTTCAGCAGCGGGTTCGCCGCAGTAGGGATGAGACCAGGGTCTTTGATGAGGAGCTTTCTCCTGGCTCCTCTTTCAGCGCAGTCTTCGTCACCAGTGATTGTGTCAGAATCTGGGGGAGATCTGTTTCTGGAAAGTTTGAAGGCTTTTCAGGTTGTACTGGCCAGCATTGCAATTAAAACTGGCCTCTGTTTTCGGTTGGTCCCCGCAGTGAGCACACTCACTGAGCATAATACACAGAGCCTGCGGCTGGGGGCAGCGCGACCTCCGTCCCGGCCCTCCCCAGCGGATGCCTGAGCAAGTCACTAAGAACGCCAGGGCTTCATTTGTGTGTTGTTTTATACCAGCTGGAAGGAACGTCAGTAA